CAACCAACCAGACAGGAATCTGTTGCGACAACCTTCCAAGGCATCAGAAGAAAAGACTTTCCCCATCAGCAATGCAGGAGATCATAACAGAGTCAACTTGGCCAGGGCACTCAGTCTGATCATCCTACCCAGAGACAGAGGAGGCTTGTCCCACGCTGAAAGAATGTTCCTCTGCAAAAGGTCTGGAATGGAACTAAGCTAATGGTACTGCTTCGAAGGTGGACACCATTAGGCACTAAAACGCTCATTCAAGTTCTCAGAGTGACAAATGGGATCGAAGCGACTGAACATGATCCTGTAACTTCAACAGCTTGTTTTGAGGAAGGAGCAACTTCACCTGAAAAAGGTATCCAACAGAAGACCCAAGTATTCCAGACAATGTGACGGAATCGGAGAAGATTTTTCCATGTTCACAATCCACCAGAAGGTCTCCAAAGTCCGCAGCACCGCCAATACGTTGAACTCCAGAGTAAGAAGAGCTTGTTGTCTAAGTAAAAGGTCATCTAAGTATCCAATAACAGGAATCCCCTTGCAACGGGGACCCAGAATCAAAGAAGACCCTTGGAACCGAAGTGAGAGCCACAAATTGGTAGTGATGGTCACCCACAGCAATACTTGGAAAACGTTAATACGCTGGAATGAAAAGGAATGTGTAGATATGAATCCTTTATATCGATCGTAACCAAGAAATGCCCTTGACGCAGGTAGGAGCAGGGCTAAGAAACTATTTTGGAACGGGAAACAAAACACCTCCCTGACCCAAGCATCCGAGATTTGAGCTTCCCACATCCTAGCAAACCCTATCAGACGTCCACCCACCACTGTCAAGTCGAAGAGGGCTTCTCTGAAGAAGGTTTAGAGGTCTTTGACTGCCACGGACTTCTAAAGGATCTCTAAGATTTGGTATTGTCAGAAGCCTTTTGCGAATGAGAGCGGAAACCCAGTGTGGAATAGCAAAAGGAACATTTTAAAAGATGGAAAAGGAGTAGGTTTACTTTTCTGATTCCTATATTTTTTCATTTGAAGCAAATGTTCGTTTTTACCACCTGTGGCCTTTCTAATGATAATATCTAGGGAATCCCCGAATAGCCGATCAACATATGGTAAACTTAAAAGCCCTTCTTACACTGGACTTTAGCCAGATAGCTCTGCAAATCTGAACCGAGGACACAGCTCTGCAAATCTAAACCGAGGACACATACAACAAACGACCCGCATCCAAAACCGTATCACACAAGGAGAGGCAACAAACATTTGATCTACTCAATCAAAAAAAAAATTTGACCGAGTCGCTGTGGTTTGAGAAATAAGAACTGTAGCCAACAATGGCTCAATAGCAGAATCAGATAAAGAATACATGGTCCAGGAAAGATTTTCACCCTTTTTCTCAGAAGAATCCTTAAAAGGCAGGAGTGGCATCAAGGTAAAGTCTTGTTAAGACTCAAAATGGAAGATCAACTTCAGTGGGAACAGCCCATTGTTTTTACAAATTCTTCCGGAAAGGCATATAGGGATTTGAAACACTTAGGAACCTTAAACTGTTTATACGGAGATTCCCAATCCTTGCATAAAAATCAGAAATAGGAAGTAAGGGAAAAACTTTGCAGACATGTTCAGGCTTCTGGGATGCCCGATCCGAAATTGTAGAAGTAAAAAGAACAGTGGAATCTACCAGATAAAAAATCAATTAAAAAGACAAGTTTCCTTTTGATACTGAGAAATTACAGATGACTGAAATTCAGCTTAAGCAACATCATCCTCATTAGAAGAAACCAACTCACCTTCAGACAGAATCTTCTGAAAAAGTGACAGCTGTACCGGAAATAGCAGGCATTTCATCCCCAGAAAGTACAGGTGACAAAAAGCAACCTTTTTTACCTGTAGCAACAGGAACTACTAACTTATCCAAACAAGATAAAAAAATTATCCCTAGTAGAAGAAAATTCAACTCTAGTCAGAAAAGGAGACGACTCGTTAGACATTTCAGCAGTTTTAGTAGCAGAAACTGACACGATATTGGTAGATTAAGTCAAAGAAGCAGTACACACAATACAAGGCATGCCAGAAGACATTTCATCGTTACAAATGTCACAAATAGAGGATTCCCTAACCGTGACAGCTCATTCACCCCTATTTTTAGCAGTAAACGTAGCTGCGCATAAAATAAATTATATTACCACAGGCTCCCAGATACTACTCACGGTCTCATAGGTGTGAGGTGAGGAGAAATGTGAACACACTACGTTGGTGACAGTGTGGAAATGAGCAGCTGGGAAAAAAATATCCCTCCCGTCAAGCAGATCACTAAGAACATTGGATCGCAAGTTCCAGCTCTTCAGCTGAAAACAGAGAAGCCGTCCCAATCACTATAAACGGCCCCCAGTGCGTGTGCATGCACAGTAGAATTATATATGCGTCATCAACACAATTCCTGGCCACTTAAAGGGGCAGTGGGAAATTTAAACAAGATTGTACCGAACCAACCAAAAAAAACAGAAAAATCAAAAGGGAGCCAACGGAGGGTGCATAGCCAACATAAATAGTACAAATTATTAGTACAGCAATATCCCAGCTCTGCACATATACTGGCCTGATATCCGCAGAGGGAAAGGAGCCACGCCCAGGTACTACAGAACTTGATGCTTGAAGATTCCAGGCCTTTACTGGCAGGTATTGAGACAAGGTACTGAGACCAGAGATGCCCCACAGTGAAGATCATAACAGATTCTGGGTATTGAAGGCAGAGTCATAAATGCTGAGACCAGAGACGACCTGCATCAAGAAGACCAGAAAAGCTCCCAGGATTTATTTCTATCCAGTATGAATCAACTAGCAGCCCAAGCAATAAAATGGCACCCAAAAATTAAAATAAAATAGCAGAAGTGAAGGAGACATTATTTTCCTGAAGACACGAGCAAAACTGGCAGTTGGGAGGTTATGGTGTACGTTTAATGAACTGTGAAAGAGTGTGATAAGCAGTGAGAAGGCTTTTCTCACCTTAGCAAAGTGAAAAGGCTAGAAAATGGTGTTTAATAACCCGTGATAAGTCAGGTAGGAACTGAAATATCTCACCTCTTCTCATCCTGGTGATAAGTACACAGAAAGTAATGGGAATGTACCTGTTTAATAAAGGGAGAAAAGTAGAGAACAGCTTTATCACTGGATAAGTATTGTGAAAAGTGCCCTTGATTTAGCAACCTGTCAGACCTTGTGATACAGGCCTTTGTCTCGAGAAGCACTGAGCAAAGATACAGGAACTTGTCATAAACCTAGTTCCTTTAGGAACCTTCGGGAACAGTTAAAATAAAGCACATATGCTTCTCTTCTGGATTTCTGACATTTTGTGACATTTATGCCAGTAGCAATGGTTGGCTGCCCAGCCATTGCTACTGGCTACTGCTGATTGAAGCCAGTGACACACTGCAGGCGATTATATATATATATATCTATATTATCTATATATATAGATATATATCTCTAGGCGGCACGCACGAATGGGAAATCGGCTTTGAATGTAAACAGCCAGCGATGGCTGTTTTGATACAAGCGTTCAGACGTCTGTAGAGACGCACAATCGCTTGCAATATGCGCTGTGCCCGGACAAACTAGTGTAGACAAGCTGCGGTGCGAAGTGGAAGGTTGCGATTTTTTCGCCTCGCCTGCAGTGTGTCACAGCCTTGAGAGGGAAAAGGAGTGAAGTCTGTCTTAATGCCACCCTTCCCTCATGAGAGTGACAGTTTCAAGTCCCCTCACTGTATCTGTGTAGTGTGAGGTAAAGTTCAGTAAGGTCATGGGACCTTAGGGCTGGTTGTTGAAGGCTCAGTCTCCCTCAGAAACAGGCCCACCAAATTAAGCTTGAAGGATGTCTGGGGAGTATGTTTTAGAGGCAGATACAATGAACATTGCACTCCACATATAACAGTCTGTAAGACCATTTCGCCACCATGGTCCGCCGTTTATGATGCATTAATACCTGCTGCTAGTGTGTTTGCACACACACAGTGCTGATGCACCTATATCGGGACAGCAAGCTTTTTTCAGGGACGCCAAACATTCCAATTTCCAGCATGTGTCAGAGTGCCCACTTACATTGCTAGGCTCCATCAGAGTGCCCCTTTAGAATGTTTAACCCCATCACTGCCTCGCATTGTGGCCTCCTCTGGTAGTTTGATTCATGTTTTTGTACTGGTACATGCTGAACAAATCGGAACATGCAAGTCCTGCCTTTTAGCAATTTTCATCATTTTAACAGAGAAATAACTTGCACTTTGCTATAGAGGTGCTTTGTAATATTGTTATTGCGTGGTTTGGCAGAGTAAACTACGATCCTGTCAGGAGGAGTGTAGATTATCACAAAGGATGTCATTGTGCAGCTCAGAATACATTCCCCACATTGCTTTCTCTACTGATCACCGTGACGACTTATCTCAGCCTTTCACAGCTGTTACGTGAGATAAGTTTTCTTTTCGCAGGTTATTAAAAAGCCTCTGTGCAGCCGAGAAAAACAAAGAGATCTGCTGAGTAAAGTTAACTCGTGATAAAGCTAGTTTTATCACAGTTTATTAAACATACACCTATGTCCATAGAGTGGCAGGTTTTTAACTTTGTTTGCCTAGTGTCCTTTTCTCCTAGAGGCATCAGCAAAACCCATACACCTCGAACTATCCCTCAATGAAAGAGAAAAAAGGACCTACCTGAAACCGTCAGGGGGAGGTAAATTTGACCTGATAACTTACACTAGAAAAACAAAAAAGTCAGAATTTGATTAGTTTATATTGACAACTCCTAGACTTTTTTTTTCTTTATGGAACCACCCATATTAAATCCAAAAATCTGACTGTTATTACCATTTACAAAATTCATCTGAGAAATATTTCCTAGCATCATGATATACAGTCTGCACCATTCTTAGAATAGAAAAGGAAACATGGGGGAGAAGACAACAATATTTTTGGCTTGGGGTCTATTCCAAATATACTTCAACTCTGAACTGCAATACAAGGGTGACTAGATCATCAACAGGGAAAAGGCGGCATATGTGCAGTTTGCTTATAAGTTTGACTGGATTTATTGGGCTTCTTCCAGCAGACATTTCTCTATTAAGTGGTTTCAAGGATTTGCAGTAGTAGCAAGCTTTGCATCAAAGTCCATCTATAGGAACACACTTCATCAAAAAACAAGTCTGGAAAGGCTGCTGTCCTGCGACAGGCTATATGTACAAATAAAAGACAGTGTGCATAACAAAATTATACATTTGTTAAACTAAGTTTAAAAATGCAGGAAGACATTCATTTTGATTCTCTCAAATTTACTAACAGCTTCCATCTACTACTCAACTGGTGTTAAAATATGAAAAATCAAGAATATTTAATCAGTATTTTAATTTATTTTTTTCATTGTCTTGGATGCAAGACAACAGCAAAGGTTGACAATCTGTTGCCTGAAATAATGCAATATGAATGAACACTTATAAGCTTCCTCATATATACATAGCAAAAGTTAATGTTCTTATGACCCAAGTTAAACTGCTTCCTTCACAAAATATATATCTATATATCAGAATCTTGAAGGATAACCCACACAGCTAACCACTCAAGACATTGAAAAAATATGGAAATGGAGAATGATTAAATGGTTAACCATTAAATTAATGGTTAATCATTCAAAGAGCACATTTAAACCTGTACCATTTTATTCACTGTTCCAGAAGAAGTCAAGCTACAAATCAGCCTGATGGAGAGGAGAAAGTGTTACAGTAAACCGCATGTACTGGTCCGATCTTCAAGAAAGAAAATATATTAACAAGCAACAACAACCACCAAGTCCAGTTCGAGATCTGCACAAACAGAGGGTGAGAATACCAAACCAAAAAATTGTCCTTGACATTTCACAAAACCTAACTGAGATTACGCATGGACTGTCCCTTGGGACAGAGTCTATCAAGCATCAAATAAAAATTAATTAAAAAAAAAAAAAAAAAAAAAAAAAAAAAGAAGAAGAAGAAAATGAAAAAACAAAAAACACTAAACAAAGTGACTACAAGTCTCCTCCATCTGTCTTCTTTAAAAGAATGTTCATCTCTTCTGTACAAACATCAGTTGGTCTAATACTGTCTAAAAGCTGCCAGCTTCTCCTTGAAGGTGGCTGGTGCAGGCGAGAAGATATTCCAGGAACACTTAAATAAGTTTTTCTTAAAAGTCCACATATTCTACAGAAATTATGAAGTCCAGAGCACTAAAATCACTTTATATGCACTGGCTTCTCATCTGACTTTAGGCGTTTCCTCCGAGGCTGTACAAAATCATCATCTGAATCCTCAGTTATTTCCCCATCATCGTCCTCTGGTTCAAAGTCTGGCAATGGTGGGAAGGTCCTGTCAGGGTAGATTCCTGGAAGTTTGTCCTCAAAGTATAATGCAACAGCCTTTCCTGCTTGTGCCACTTCAGAGTCATTCTGTTATGGGGGGGAAAAAAACAAAAAAACAGAATTCACCTGGGGTTATGCAAAGACACCTCATGAGTTAGCACAGCTTGGAAAGCTTACCTGCAGATTAATTTCTTGTGATTCTGCATAAACTTGAACAACTTTCATCATCTAAAAAGGACACCAGAGTCAAAAAAGTGAAAATCATTTCTTCTAAGTTTTATAAGTAGGGTGTTACTTCAAAATAAGGTCATAACTACAAAAAAATTTTATGACCTGCCTGCTATTTAAAAATGCATGCTCAATTATTATATGCAATGAATATAAAGTATGACAGACTGGATACACAGTCCATCACAAAAATACTAGCATGCTATGCTATTTTGTCACGCAAGTCCAAGCCAGACCAGATAAGACTGAGCTATTGCAAAAATGATATATAAATATGTTTTTTTTCTGGTCTATGGCCATAGCAGACTTGTTTCCCCCAGACAATTATCACAATTATGACCAGTTTACAAACATTAGATTATAGTATAAAATCTGACCATTCTATAGAATACAAATTTAGACCAAGCTGCAAGTAATTTAAATGAACAAGCAACAAAAGGTCTCTAGAATAGATTTATATGAAATACCATTTAATATATCTGGCACTTTTCAAAGAAAACAAATTACAAAAAGGTCAAAACAGCAAAGTGCAAGCTAAAAATCATTAATTTAGCAGAATTTCTGGTCATTTAAATGATATGTTGGTATACTTAAATTACATCCCTACATGTAAAACTCAACATTTTACTTCAGCCAAAATAATCTCCTGATGTCCATTATATTTCTAGGTTTTCCCCAAACAAGAAAACAAGCCGGTGAGGTATGAAAAAAAAAAAAAAAAAAAAACCTTAAAAAGAGACTCTTCTGCCTAAGGAAGTGCTTTAAAATGGCATACCTGCAAATAGGCATAGCAATGCTTACCTTCTGTACTGCCCATTCCATTAAATGCCACTCCACAGAAGCATAATCATTGGGTGAAGTATTTTCTGAAACCAATGCTTGCCAATCATTTGGTATCCTGCAGTGCTGAATGGCTCCCTTCTGCTGATGCCCTTAACATCACTACTGTGTTCTGTAAAGACCTGGAGGTCGGCAGGAGCCACCATTCAGTACTGCTGACACAGGAGATAGACAAAGCCAGAGGAGTTCAGCAGCGAAGGCAGGACAGGTAAGTATTCCAACACTTCATTGAAGATATGCCGTTTCTAAAGGTGCCCATACACCTTACAATTATCTGCAGATTTTCTGTGGTCAGATGGATAAAGTGCAACAGATTGGCCCATCCACACAGTTAAGTGTAGATGGAGGAATCTGTTGCACCAAATTCCATCTGACCACAGAAAATCTGCAGATAATTGTAAGGTGTATGGCCAGCTTAAAAGCAACTTTGAGCAAGTGACAGTCACTTTCACTTTAAGCACAAGATGGATTACATAATTATTTATGGTAGCTGCAATTATGTTCTATTGCCTCTGCAAGAGATATTAACCAATATATTATCATATGCTTTGCTACGAAGAAGAAACAAACTGCAGTGTTATCGTTATTTAAACAATATAGGCTGTCTGTTACTGATCCAATAGCTGCAATGACTTATAAGTCATTGATAAAAGTACACGGATCGGTCATGCCAATTTCAGGCCAAATTCACCTCCTGTAAAAACTTGTGCCAGGTCAGTGACTCAAAATACTAAGACAAAGACACCAACCATCTAACATTTGATGAAGATTGCCAGCAATAGTAATCTACATATGTTTCTCATTACAGTAGCAAATTTGGGCAGTTCAAACTGATCAAATCTTACATAAAAATGGTAATGCTTTTCAACAAGTTGAAGCAGAATTTCATGTTAAATAAAAAGATTTAACAAGGGAAGGCCAGGTGGGCACTTTCAATGCCAATTTTGAAACACCCAAAATCCAATATATGGGTCATATACATTTCAAGCCAGGGAAGTCAAATTTGAACTCAGTAGGAACCAGTTAGTCCAAGCTAGATGGCACCAGGCAGTTTCAAGAAACCTTGGAACATTGACTTCCACTACAAACAAAAGAAGTCTCAGAAAAAAAGGTTATGTGCCAGCTATATTTTTTTTCCTTTAGGCATGCTAGTTACCTAGCTCCTGGGACTTATCCAACTATTTTAAACAGTTTGTGAATGTTTACTAAAATTCTTAGTAACTGGGCTACAAACTATAAGAAAGCTTCCCCCTTTACACTTATTTAATTCAGGTTCCTTACTGGTAAGAAATGGCTTCCTCTTTAAACATCTCTAATGTTTTGCTGTGCATGTTGTGCAAGAACTTTTATCAATCTTACAGCAGGGAATACTTTAGATCCATTTACAGTGCATGAGACATTAGAAGACGGATATTATAACAATCAAGAGCCACATCAGGTAATTTAAAGCAGATGTAAATCTTCACCGAATAACTAATTGTGTGCTAAAGCACTGTGTACAACAGACATTTTTTTTTTTAAATAAAAAGCTTGTTTTCACACTTTATTGATTCTTAGTGCTGTGGATATCTGGCAGCCTCTTTTCAGTCACCTCCTGCTTTTCAGCTATGGCTGCATAGCATTTCTCGGGACAGGTTTCTTGATAGTTACAATAGACCAGGCCTGTGTAATGTGTGTTGAAACAGTCACTTGTAGTCACCACTTTAGGCTCATGTGAAAGGGTGACAGCATACACAATCTTGTGCATAGCCTACCTCAGAAACCATAATCTTTACACTTTACTCATATTCAATTATCTCTAATGAGGACCATAGGTATTTGTATGACTGTTCTACAACACCAGGAGGATGCTGGGCTGCCTCTTTGGTATCTGCCTCACATAATGCACATCTAACACTCAGTATTTAAAAAAGGTACAGTTTTAATCCAGTAACCCCTCAAACTTATCCATGAACAGATGCATGACTAGCAATAGCAGCCATTGTAAATACTATGGAAGCAGAAATTGTTAATGTTGATTAATGTTAGGGCAACAAAGGATGACAAAGTGAAAACTGTATTAATAAGCCAATTGTTTGATACACAGTGTTTTAGCACAGTAAATATGACATACTCTTTCTTTTGCTACAAAGATAATGATAGACATGGGATGAAAGACATATGATGGAATCTTGATCCTATGTCTGAGATATCCCTGATGCAATCTACCAGACACCATCAAGTAAATCGGAAAAGTTAGAAAATCCAGAAATACTGATGCAGCAGCCTCCTCTGCTCCCTCCTTTTATAAAGCCATTTGGAAACCGCATTTATCCAATGGCACTAATAGGAACTAAAACATGTATTCCTGTGCAATGAATAAGTATAACTGGAAAAAAATACTGGTTTGAGGAGTCATGAAAACAGGTTAAGAGTGCACCTGTGCCCAGGCTATGGACATTCTTATTGTTTTTAACAGAATGAAGACAGTTTTTAGACAAGCCATGTCTGACATCTGTAGCTGCAGGCACTGTGGAGAAAATCTTCATTTAAAATAATTAAAAAAAAAAGAATCAGGTACTGTAAGCTGTTAGAACACAACCAAAACCCTACTTCAGAATCTCAGGTGTGAACTTCAAGGATTAATAATTACACCATAGTACACGCAGCTCAAGAGGTGAGCTCAGTAGTAGGGATGCACCAAATTTTTGGTCGAAAATGGCACTATGCGCAAAATGCCGAAAGTACCTTTTTTTACCAAAAATGCTGTGCATCTCTGGGGACACAGAGCAGCGCCCAGCAGGGAGGAGAGAAACTTTCAAGAGGCTGAGCAAGAGGGGGAGGAGAGCACTGTCAATGTTATCACAGAAAGCCAAGCTCTTCTCTCGCACCTCCCCACTCGGCCTCCTGTGACAAGCAAATCAGGATGGAAAGCGGTGCGGGGAGATAGCTGTCAATTGTCACAGGAGGCCAAGAGGGCGGTGCGGGGAAGGGAGTGTTGTTAGTGGTATCACTGGAGGCTGAGCTCTACTCCTTGCACTGCCCGCTCAGCCTGCTGTGACAGGCGAGTGAGGATGGAGAGCAGTATACAAACTCTTAACGATCCGCTGATCGCAGAGTGTTTGTAAATACCTGAGAATATAGTATGCTTACGGTGTCCCCAGTTATGAATAAACAGAAAGTGCTCTGCATCACTTCCTCTTCATTCACGATTGTGGACATTGTAACCGATACTATCCCCACAGTTTAGGAATGGACAGGAGTACACAGTATAGAGGCTTTCTGTTTATTCATAACAGAGGCCGCAGAAAGAGATTTAGGCTTCTATGTCCTCAATCTCTTTTTCTATTTTTAAAGGGAAATATTAGGGGTCTGTTTAGACCCGATATTTCCCCCAACGCCCCATACAAAGTAAAAAAATTAATTAAAACATTAATTTAGAAAAGTTAGAAAATAAATAATTTTTGGTTTGTCTGACAAATTTTTTATTTCCGGTTACATTTCAATGCACCTCTAGTCAGTAGTGACATTTTTTTTAATGCACATTAGCAATATGTAAATATCTGTCCATAGCCTGGGCAAATGTGCAATTTAAATGTGCAGAAGCACAAAGGCTGTATTCTAACCAATCTCTCTATGGCCAACTATTAAACATGGATATGGTAGCAGATCTGCAAAAAATATGGACGTTATCAAATTATGGTCAAGTATGTGAATCAATCTTACATGGCCATGTTCACCCTATGTTCCCTCATGAAATTTCCATATTCCAGAATGGTCATGCCACCAAACACAATGCTAATAAAATTTCAGTGTGTGTTTCAGTTTGAACTCAGTCATGAAGTCAAAAGCCTAATATGGTCTATCCGTAGACTGGCTGATATCACTGAACCATTATGAGACGTTCTGAAGAAAAGAATCATAGCTTCTTCATCCAGAATCGAAAATACATCTACCGGTATGTACAATTTAGGAAAGTATGAGAGCATACTGACATCATAGCAAACGATGTCTACAGCCCAGTCCAGCGGTCCAAAGATATATAAATGAAAGAGGAACAGACCACAGCCCAAACAAACATGTCACAGAGAAACAATAAACTTGTCAATAGGGATGAGTTCGCCAGAGCAAAACTATCACTGACACATGCCCCTCCAGGCCCAATCAGCTGCACAGGAGCATTCCATAACCCGCTGTTAGGCGTAGCTGCAGGGCAGGTAGGGAGATGTGTCACCAACAGTTTTGTGACAGGCTTATTCAGTTTGCACCAAGGTCACGCACACCCCTACTTGTTGACAGCACCAATTACATGGGACTCTGCCAGGTTCCTGTAGTGGAGGGCCGTGCTGGAATATGAGCAGTCAAGATGCAGTTGGTTATTTTTGAACTGTGAATTTCATGGGTGAACATTGGTAAATCGAATACTTCACAATAATAATAAAAAAAGAGAAATAAAAACAGATTACATCTCTATTTTTTACACAATGCTGCTAAAGATAAAATGTAATGTTTGAAAACGCATCAATATAAATTTAAAGTAACTATTTTGTGGAATAAAATTGCACATGCAATGAATTCTGCCTAGACATGATATATATAAGAATATATAGTAAGATAAAAGAAAAACATACTTCATTAAACCTTTCACAATTCTTAAATATTAGCCTGACGTCTGCTACAAAGTCTTCTGGTGTCTGGTAGTGTTGGGAGTGTTTCTTCTGCAGCTTCTTTTTAACTGTGGATAGGTCCATTGGCTTCTTAATTATTTTATAGTAGTTTGGTATCTGGAATAAAAAAAGAACACTTTGTTGGACATCTCAACAAAATCAATTTCAAAAGGGCCCAATAGCTAGAATTGTTATAGGTTTTAAGTGTTTGTATTATTCACTCATCTGTTTATCACTTTATGCAATGAAACAATTGAAGGCACCGTGTAATGCAACCACACATATATAACGGTTACATAAGCTACTTTGTATTTCAGAATTAAAGGAGAACTATAAGATGAGTGAAAATTACTCATCCTCATAGTTCGAGCCGACGTGCCACAATTAGACTGTCACACATCGGCTCAATAGATCGGGAAGTGAGCGAAACAATACCGTTGCGCACTCACGTCTCGATCATCTCCCTGCAGGAAGCCGTGACTGTCTGTCACGGCTCCCTGCAGTGATTTCCCCTCCTCCGATCCTCCAGCGCCGTCTAGAATAATGGACGGGTACAGCTGGCTCTGCCTCTAGATGGTAATGTCGGGATCCATCCCGGCTGCGGGGGTCTCAATATACCGCGAGCTGTAGCTAGCGATATCCTGAGCTTTGGGTCACAGGAGGACGCTAGTATATGTCCTCCCGTGACCCTTGAGAACTATGGGGAAAAACACTTACCCCATAGTTCTCATTTAAAAACTACAAATACTGCAAAAGAATGCTGGGGGTGCAATGTTCTCAACACCGAAGATGAGCACATGATTACAGTATAGACTTAAGACAACAATTACATTTCCCAAACTTCTGCCTGCCAGCAGGTCTTATGCAATTCCTTCTCCTTGACAACAGTAGCAGGGTTGGAGAGGTGACAGACATTAGAAATGCTGGCAAGGAGCTCATCAAGGGCATGAGAGCGAGTACGAATGCCACGCTCCCGAAACTACCCCCATGTATGTGCAGTAAAATTCACTTGGCTGCAGTACAGTTGGTTTTACTACTGTAAGGCTGCATACGCAGGATCTCGTCACCATATTGTGATGTCAGAAATATGGTGGCAAGATTTTATTCAAGTGCAGTAGTGGACCAGTCAGTACTGCCACTACCGTGCAGGACCAGGATCTTGTTGTCATATTTCTGATAATGCAACATGGCAGTTGTTGCCATATAAAGTTTTGCTTGTGTAATATATTAATTAGATAATTATCGCATGTTATGTGACTCTCAGTTCCTCAATTGTGTTACTGTGAATCTGTCTGCTTTAAAGTCCTAGCTATTGTTTTGTTTGCTTATCACATCTCACATGGGGGGTAAACAGCAACCTCATTTAAATCCTCCAAATCAGGTTACACCCAATGTACATTTGGTAGGCAGTGTACAGAAAGGAGGATATATAAGGTATTGTTAGCAAGCCACGTGTTTCTCTTTTACCTGGAACACAAAGGCATTCAGTATGAACAGGCGAGAAGCTGAGAGGTAAAACTCCACGACACTTGTACATTGTCTTGTAAATATTGTTTTGTGTGTTATTTGTAAATATGTAACCCTACCAATAAATGTATATTGCTGATGGAACTACTTATTTTGTCTAAGAATCCTCAGATCTAGGGGTGTTTATGTGATTATTGTAGTCATTGGAATATATTTACATATCCATTTCACCTGGGTAATACAGTGAGACACCGCGCATGTGCAGTAGGGTGTAGTACAGACTGGTCAATAATGCGCATGCACAGGATCTGTATGCTTTATTGAAGGTGTTATTCCAGAAGAGAGTGAGTGACAGGTCATCCCATGCTACAACATGGAAGTAGTACCTACAAATAATATTGGAGTAGCCCAAGGGGTGAGTTATTTAAAATGTTACCTTTCCAATGACATGTTTGACTTAAGATAATTTTTCTTTAACCAACTCATTTACTGCTTATACTTAGGGCTGCAACAACTAATCGACTAAGGCGATTATAATCGATTGAAAAAGTCGTCAACGGTTTCAATCATCGAATAATCGGCTTTCGATTAGTCGGCCCTGTTCAAGGCTTCATACACGCCGCATCTCCTCACGCTTGCCCCTGCCAGACCGCAATTCACACGCCACAGCTCCTCCCCACCCGCGGTGAGAAAGAAGAAGTGAGGAGCAGGCGTGGGGGGATGACAGCTGCCGACAGACAGGCCCGCTCTCAGAAGCAAGTTGCTGGAAAACTGCTCAGGTAAGCCTGCACTCCCCCCCCACCCCCATATGATGCTCTATAATGTATTGCTGGCATAATGGGATTTGTATTCATCTATAGCTGATGGTACATTGTGATGTATATTATCCAGCGCAATGTATCCTTCAGCTAAAGAGGAATACAAATCCCAGCAATACATTATACACTGTATGTATAATGTACTATTGATGGGATGTGTTGTATTCCTATATAGCAGGTGGTATTCTGCATTGTGCTGTGAGATATATTATTCCTGGGATTTGTTGTACTCTTCTATAGCTGGTGGTATTCTGCATTGTGCTGTATAGAGGACTTCAAATCCCAGCAATAATACATTATAGACTGGTGCAATGCAGAATACCACCAGCTATAGGGGACTACAAAACCCAGCAATAGTACAATATGCATCGCAATGCAGAATACCGCCAGCTATAGATGACTACAAAACCCAGGAATAGTACAATATGCATGGATTAAAATAGATACTCCAATAAATGTTCAAGTAGATCACATATTTCAAGTTTGCCTCAGGCTCCTGACTTTCCGAGATGGCTCAGATTGCATTCAAGTAGTTCACAAGTTAGAAGAAAATACCCTTTTATTTAAATTTTTATGTTAGAGAACTATGGGGTTAAGGCTTTTCCCCATAGTTCTCCTTAGGGTAACGGGAGGACACAAACTAGCGTCCTCCAGTCACCCTAGGCTCAGTATACCGCGGGCTGTAGCTCGCGGTATACTGTGCTTGCAGTATACTGAGGCGCTGAAGCGGATCCCGAAAATTGTGCTGGGATCTGCCCAGCTGCATGACTGACAGCTGGCTCTGCCGATCTAGAGGCAGAGCCAGCTGTACCCGCCCCCTCCCCCGTCCGTTCCGCCAGTCAGCGCTGGCGGATCAGGGGGTAATCCAGCCCCTCCCCTGTCACGGCAGAGAGCTGTGACAGGATCGGGGTGAGCGAACACTGGTATGTGTTCGCTGACCTCCCGATCTACTGAGCCGACCTGTGACAGTCTCATTGTCACAGGTCGGCTAGAACTATGAAGTGAGTGAAAAGCACTCACCTCATAGTTCTCCTTTAACAAAACTTTTCAAGTTTAGATAAAAAAAAAATTCCTAAAAATTTTAATGTTGCCTCAAGTTGTATCCTGTGCCAAAGCTGTTATCCACAAACACACAGACTACAAACAAAATTCTGTTCCTAACAGCACTTTGGCGACATTTCTGGCTTTGTCTGGACAAAAAAAAAAAAACTGACAGTGCCTTTAGCGGAAGCCAATTGCTCACACTAACGTTATTCAAGCCAAAGAAAGCTGAAAAGTGCTGAGCGCACATACTATATAAAACAAGAAGGCATGCAATATATACATTTTTTTAAAATCTTATTCAAATATTGACTTACAGTTAGAGGGACTGGCTCTTGAAACTCAATACTCAGTTCATGGCAGTAGATATACAGGAGAAGCCGCTCACATTTCTTTTTGGAAAAAAATAAAAAATAACACTTAATGGAATGGTAATGGAAATCATCACATGTAGTGAGCACTATGTGTGTATTCCTTTAAAAAGGTTGGATAAATAAGAGGACAAAGCCCAACTCCAGCCAAAATGCAGTTTCCACCGTCTCCTGATGTCCTCATCTTTTCCTATTGTGGTGTTACAGGGGGAGAAAGGGGTAATTGGGACTTGACATTCTATACACTGAACACACTATTCAACAGTTCTAGCTTAAAGACAATTTTTATAACCAAGAGAATAGATTTCAAGTCAACAAGTTACTTTTCTATAATAAATTGTCCAGCATTTGGTGACATATGGAGGCTGGCAGTGGGTAGTGTTCAATTTGTTTTTGCCACACTGCATTACGGTACACCTTTCCAATGCTTAAGTTCCTTTAGACCCTTGGTTCTCAACTGGTGGGTCGTGACCCAAAAGTGGGTCGCGACCCCATGTTCAGTGGGTCGCTGCGTGCCTTCCACTTTCCTACGTGAGAGGCTTCTCAGCCTCCCCCTACCGCAGAACTGTCAGTTATCTCGCCAAGCAGCCATTCAAAATATGCTGCCCGGCGCTGAGTGTCAGCTTGAGGTGGGGTGGGCTGGAGCTATGGCTGTGAGGGAGCTCCATCCATACATGCATTGCTTACAGCTCCCTCAAATACCCTGTAGAGGTGCCTGGACCGGTGTGACATCACATTCTGGCTCCGGGCACCTCTATAGGGCATGCAAGGGAGTTGTACAAGCAATACACATTTGGATGGAGCTCCGTCACACCATAGCAGTCCACGCTGGACTCCAGACTGAGGATCCACTCCAGTTCTCATAAGGTAGGGAGACTGGGTGGATCTTAAAATCTTTAAAAAATCTTTTTTTTTTTAAATACATTTTTTTGGGTGTGTGTATGTGTGTGTGAGATTGTGTCTGTGGTTGTGTGTCTGTCGCTGTGTTGGAGGGCCCGTTCACACTAGTACAGTGTTGATCACAGTCCTGTGCAATTAACGCACTGTACCATGCAATCTCACCTACTACACGTTCTGGAGCGGGAGGTGTGTTGCGTTACCATTTATTTGAATGTCACCCCGAACGTATCTCCTGCCCACAGTTCAATCGCCTGCACCAGAATACACAGTACCGCAATGCCATTTGGTACCAATATTCTTCAAATAACGAGAACAAAATGTGTCGAATACCAGTATTATGAGAAGAGAGAACATAAGTAACCCTCTAAGCCAGGGGTGCCCATTAGGTCGATCGCAAAGCGAACACTGGTAGATCGCGATCGGCTGTGCCTTGTCCTCCCGCTGTGGGGCTTCTCCTCTGGATCCCTACTGCTCTCCCCCATCTGTATGCAGCGGGGATCCGAGGAGAAGTGAAGGAAGCGCTGCAGCCGGCCGAGGAGGGAGCCGCTGTCCCAGCAGCGTGGAGGAGCGGTGAGGAGAGAGAGAGCCGCTCGGCCAGGATCTGACAGCTGGCGGCTCTCTCTCTCTCCTCACCGCTCGGCCATGCTGCTGTGACAGCGGCTCCCTCCTCCGCCGGCTGCAGCACAGCATAAAGGCGGGGGAGAGCAGCGGGGATCCAGAGGAAAAGCTGCAGGCTGAGTCACCCCGTGTGAGTGGCCGAGGATCGGTACATATCAGTGATATGTTCCGATCCTCTGTGCAGAGCAAACACTGGAACGATCAGCTGATCACTCCAGTGTTTGTAAATAACTGGTGACACATAGTAATGTGTCCCCAGTTATGAATGAACAGGAAGTGCTTTACATCACTTCCTGTTCATTCATGATTTTCTCAATGGGGAGTAGCACTCTGTACAGAGGGTTCTCCCCATTCAGAAACTGGATAGTAAATATTTTCTGAATGAATGGGAAGCCTCTGCACTGTCCATTCATTTAGAACAGATGCTACAGAAAGAGAGATTGAGGACTGTGTCCTCAATTTCTTTTTTTATTTTAAATAGGGAAATATCAGGGAGCTTTTTAGACCCCTGATATTTCCGCAAATTATCCCAACAGTTAAAAAAAAAAATTACAAAATGAAAAATCAAATAAAAAATAATAACAAACAAACGCTGAAGACGGGAAGGGGTGGGACACCTCTACCCATATGCAACGTCAGTCACATTCGGCCACACGAGCATCGCGGGAGGACATGACGCCGGTGCACGAGAGGAGACCTTGGAAGCAGCTGCAGTGGATGTAAGAAAAAGACAGATGGGGAGAGACAGCAGAGAAAGTGAAAGACAGCAGAGAAAGTGAAAGACAGCAGAGAAAGGGAAAGACAGCAGAGAAAGTGAAAGACAGCAGAGAAAGTGAAAGACAGCAGAGAAAGGGAAAGACAGCAGAGAAAGTGAAAGACAGCAGAGAAAGTGAAAGACAGCAGAGAGAGAAGAGACACCGCAGATAGAAACAGGGGAGAGAGCGAGGAGACAGCTGAGAGAGGGCAGGTTCACACCACAAAGTCTGCGTCCCAGAGTGTTAGGCCTCTAGAACGCACTGGAATGCAAATCGGCCGGCTCCCTGCGTTCAGGGTCGTGGGGTTGAATTGAAGTCAATGGCACCGCAGCCATGCCCACAGTTCAATCACCTGCACACAGAAAAATAGTATATGCAGCATTTTTGCAGATTGCACTGGCCTGGAAATGTGCCTGCGTGCGGGTGATTGCACTGCGGGCGGGGGGCGTGGCTGCGGTGCCATTGACTTCAATGCACCGCCTCGCCCACTCCCGCCCCTGAATGCAGGTGTTTTTTCGTGGTAGATCTCATTGAGCGCGACATTTGAAAAGTAGATCTCCAGATGAAAAATTGTGGGTGTCCCTGCTCTAAGTGTATTAATATTTACGCTCTTAATGCTGCAAGTATAACTACACACATACCATTTGGTCCACAGGATTTAATCCTTGTACAGTCTTCCCTTTTTTACTGTGCTGTGAATTATCACAATCATATTCAACCTCTGGTTTGTTCAGATCTCTGCAAAATGTGCAGATCCACTCACCACTGTTGGAAAAGAAAAGGCATGTTTATAGAAGGATCGTTTGGAACATTTTAGTTTTTTTTAACATTGGGTTAATTGCAGTATACTTGTATCAAAAAACATGCATAATATATTATAGATTTCATACATAAAATTTGATGTGTTTAAATAACATACAGCTGACAAATATTTATATATTAGGGATGCACCGATACCGGTTTTTCGGTATCGAATAAAAGTATTGATTTTTTTTTTTTTTGGTACTCGCCGATACCGAATACTAATGCCGGCATCCGTGGGCCAGTATTATTAGGAAGCCAGTGTTCCATCAAAAGAACACCGGCTTCACTTCCCTCGCGACACTAAGGCAGCCTGGCTTACTGACCAATCTGGCTTCCTGATTGGCTAGGAAGCCAGCTTCACTTGTTGCTAGGCAGCCTGGCTTCGTGATTGGCCGGGAAGTCGGCTCCATGCTACCTCTCCGCACTGCCCATAAGAGGGAGGTCTCCCTCTGACCAGAAGTCAGGGGGTAAGTATCGGAGCATTTGAGCGAGTACAAGTACTTGCCCTACATCTCTAATACTCAGTATCAGCACCGATACTAGTATCGGTATATCCCTAATTATATATAGATCTATACCTATAGGTGAAACTCGAATAATTAGAATATCGTGCAAAGTTTATTTATTTCACTAATGCAACTTAAAAGGTGAAACTAATATATGAGATAGACTCATTACATGCAAAGCAAGATAATTCAAGCCGTGATTTGTCATAATTGTGATGATTATGGCTTACAGCTCATGAAAACCCCAA